GCCGGCCGGGCCCCGGGCAGGGGGCGAGGTGCTGGGGTGGGGGGTGTGCGCAGGTGTTGAAGCGGTTGGGCTGCCCGAGCAAGCCTCCCGCCTCGCCCTAGGCTTTCCCTGCGCAAGGCGAGGTGCACGGCCAGAGCTGGCCGAGGGGCTGCCACTGGGCCCCCGGCAACTAGCCAGGCAGGGAAGGCGGGTTTGGGGCCAGGAAGGTGGGTGCTGCCCCAGGAGCAGGGCAGAGCCACGTAGTGGCAAAGCCTTGGGGCTGGCAATGGTCACAGAGTGATCAGGAGCGAGGAGAGACTTGGGACTGTGAAACGCTTGCAAGCTGGAGGAAAGCCAGCATTAGCTCTGTATCCCAGAGGGAAAAGTCATGTACGTGGTGATATTTCCACTGATTAGCATTGCACCGTGCTTGCTTTTTTCTGTTTCACGTCTTCAGTTTAAGTTGGCAGTGCTTCCAAAGAAAGCTGATTTTTCTTCAGTCTTCTTTCTTCATGTTCTGCAGAACAGTAGTGTTTCAGCTCTGAGGCCCATTTGTGTGATGGGGAAGGTTCTTTAACATGGAGACGTGTATTTCTGTTTTTTTTTTTTTTTTTTCTAGTTTGTTTTATAGTCTTATGGACTGACTTTTAAAGAGGGAAGTGGAGCTTGATGATTCATGCAGATTCCTCACATATGTAACTAGTTCCATGTGTTCACTTATCTTTCAGACCTTCTGTACACACTATCAAGTGAGAAGGACCATTCAAAGTCAAATGTCTGTGTTCAGCTTGGTGATAAAATGGTAGGTGTTGGCCAAAGACGGCTCACATGTGCACCTTATATTTCTGCGTGTATTGCATACACATGGGTAGAAACTCTGTCTCAGTTTTAAGCTGTTCCCTTAAAACAGCAAAATACAAAGCAAAGGAAGGAGTTTTATCTAAAACAAGACTTTAACACTGGAAGTAACCATAATCACCAGCCTAGAAACGCTCAGTTTCATGTCCTGGGTAATTTCCTAAATTGTGTATCAGTATTTTTAATGTAATATCTCCAAATACTGTTAATAACAGCTTGTATACGTTACTAAGATCTAATAAAAGACCTGAACAATTGTTGGGCTGTTGTTCAAGCAGAGCTGATAAAATGTGTTAGTTCAGGCAGTGCCTCCTCACTTACCTTGGGATACACTTACACTACAGCTCAAAGTAGCATACTTAGTTTAAAATTAACAAGATAGCAGCAGCTAAGTAGCCTGTAAAAACTGAAACCCACCCTGATTTTTCATACTAGGTTAATGCAGTTTAGCTTCCTAGCTAAGCCCATAGCTAGTTAGCCCAGGCTTAGCTCCCTACTGCATTTGCTCACCTTCTATCAGTATTCACCCCTAGTTAGTTTTAATTAAAACAGCTAAAGCATATCTGCGGGAGCTGCAGCCACACCTTTAGACAGCAGTGACTGATGGCTGGACAGGCTGCATGGAGGTAGAATGCCAAAGGAAAACAGACTTGGTACAACTGCACAGTGAATTATTGGATTTTAAACAAAGAGTCCTCCTGAACCTACACACTTGACTGAGCCTGCAAGGCAGATGTTCTGAACTCTGAAACTCCATTGCTGTACAGTGAGGAGAAATTCCCTGAGCAGCTTTCAAACAGTGGAATCAAGAAACATTTTTTTAAAAAATCACAGAATGTCAGGGATTGGAAGGGACCTTGAAAGATCATCTAGTCCAATCCCCCTGCCAGAGCAGGAACCTAAATGAGATCACATAGAAAGGCATCCAGTCGGGTTTTGAATGTCTCCAGAGAAGGAGACTCCACAACCTGCCTTGTTTCTGGATGTCTCTTACCCCATTAACTCAGGCTCTTTCTTATATAAATATGTGTCTACATGAAATAAATGTGTGTATGTCTGCCTCTCTGTAGAGAGACATGCACATGGAGCTGGAAACATTGCCTGTCATCATAGAGATCCTTGCAACAACATGGCTGTGTTAGCAGTTCAGGCCAGACAAAGTAAGCAGGCATGGCTGTCACTAATGTTGTCACGTCATAGGTGTAACATTCCAGATGGGCACAGTGGCAGACTCTGACTTGCATAAAACATGTTTGAAGCATATGACTCAGAAAATGCATAATGTGCAATTCAAAACAATACAACTTTGAATTCTTAATCTATAGCATCACAAAATGAGGTGGTCAGGGGTTGTGATAATATTAGTTTATAGGGTTTTCCAAAGTCTCGAAAGTTGAATTCCCTTTCAGGAGAAATGAAACAAAAATGCAATCGCATGCACAGCAAGCAGCTACTTATAGGAGGTTGCCTAGATCTTCATCCTCTAACACTCTCTTACACTCTGGTGAGTTAGTGTACTTGAAATGTCACCCCATATGCACTTGAGTTAGCACCTGCTGAAATGAAAGGGGCAATTCAAAATTCAAATCTGATTTCAGGCTTTACAGAAGCTCAAACCAATATAGCTACATCACTTATACTTGAGTCACAGTTGCAGAAATTTATTGGCAACCATAAACTTAGAGAATTAAAGCATATCTACTGAGGAAAATTAGTGCTTAGAAATGAGGGTGTGGATTTTTAATATGATCATTTTTGTGTACTAACTTCCGTCGAGATATTTTTGACATATGCTAAAACTGTTACTGTATAAAATAATGTAACTTTACTCTGTAAGTGGAATATGTTACTTCATTTTTAGAGCACACAAAATAGGAAGGAGTTACATGGGGTAATGTGCTAGAAGTTCACATTACTGCACATTCACAGTTACTGCACACTAACTTCTTTATGTAACGAACCGTTAGACCCTTCGATTTTAAGTATAAGTTTAGACACTGGAAAACAGCCAGAAGACATATCTATGCATCTGCTGCTAGTCTGGTATGCTCCACATCTTGAGAAGTACCATCTAACCAGCTGACATCATTAGCATATGTATGCCTTCTTCTTTTCCCATCCCAAATGTGCAGTCCTGTAAATCACTGCAAGCTGAAATTCTGATCTCTTTAATGCTGTTTGAAATTGCTAAATCACTGCCTCTGTTCTTTGTGTCCATACAAACATTAGGTAAAGGCACCAATGCTCAGAAGTATCTTTAATAGCTTGATTCATTTCCCGGGCTTCAAACAGTGCTTGGAGGGCAAAGATCCAGGGCCTCCATTTATTGACCAAAGATGGAGAGGGAGGGCTCAGCAGCGCCTGGAGGCTCTTCAGCAGCTTGCTTCGTAAGTGTTCTATGGTTGGATAATTTAAAACAAACATACAAACAAAACCAACAAAAACCCATGCACACTGAAGCAGAGATGACTGCAATTTGCTCCTACTTATACTTCCCTTGAAATAAAGAGATTGCAGCTGTTGTGGAGTATGGTTGCCCATCTGTTTCTTACAGGGTGGATGTTGCACATTCCTGCATCCCTGTGCTATCTGCTTTGCAGCGGTTGCTGGGAAAGAGAAAAGAGTTATTTCAATCTCTTACAGATCAGATAAGTTATGAAGACTTCAGTGACTCATGTGTGTT